CTTGAGAGATCGTCGATGCGAGGCGCTCCCCCAGTGGGGTAAGGAGCAGTGGTCCCCCCGTTGTGACTGGTCGGCCTGTCCCGCCCCGTAGACACTGACTGCGAGCGCTGGTGTGCACTGGACAGGCTCGTCCTCGCCTCCTCCTCCTCCTCCTTCTCTTCCTCATCGCTTCCGTATCCTTGCGCCTGCCCCTCCTCTTCTCTTTCAACGCCCACCCCCCTCGCCGCCACGTCTCCTCCCGCCAACTACCCCCCCCCCCCCCCTCGCCTCCTGGCATGCTGCTGTTGCTGCTGTTGATCGTCCGCCTCCTCCTCCTCCTCCTCCTCCTCCTCCGCCGCCTCCCTTCCCTCCTCCTCCTCTTCCTCCTCCTCCTCCTTCTCCTCCTCCTCCTCCTCCTCCTCATCCGCCTCCTCCTCCTCCGCCTCCTCCTCCGCCGCCTTCTCCTCCTCTGCCTCCTCCTGCTCCTCCTGCTCCTCCTCCTCCTCCTCCTCCTCCTCCTCCTCCTCCTCCTCCTCCTCCTGGCTACCCCCTCCCCTCAGGCGAGGACAACGGCGGCGCGACGGCGGCGACGATGGTGGCCGCGGCGTCGGCGGCGGCACTGGCGAGCGACGACGGCGAGCAGCGGCGGGGAGCGGCGACGGCGGCGGCGGCGGCGCGAGCACAGCCGCGCTCCGAGGTCGCCGCCGTCGGGGTCCCCGATGGCGAGCCCGAGCATGGGCCCCAGGGACGCCCGCCGGCGCGCGCGCGTGCGCCATGGTGGCGACGAGGGCGAAGGGGTCGGCGACGGCGCCGTCGCCCCAGAAGCCTTTTTGTGGGGCGCCCCCGGAGGTTTTCTCGCCGCCGTGGACGGGTGCTGGCTGGCTGCGACGCAGGGGCAACCTCACGGGAGAGTCGGCTCAGGGAGGGACGCAACGACCCCCAATCGCCCCTGGGTCGCCGACAGGGGCCCGTTAGCCCACCCGCCCAGGACCGTGCGGATTCGCCATCGGGGGCATTTCGCCGGCCCGTCGGCGATCATGTATCGCCGATTCTGGGTCGATGTTTCCCGCCCTTGAGCCAGTCCCCCCTAAAGTTCTCTGTGCGAGCTGATACAGCAAGCTTACCAAACAGTGCTGTTTCCGACGAGGCGGATCCAGGAGAATCTTGAGCGACTCTCCAGAACCAATGGTTTGCGCCTTGTTGGGATGTTGCTGCTCGAGCGTCGATCTTGTGATCGTTTTCTTATTCCTTGTTTTGCCGATCGGCGCGGGCCCTCGCACAACCCCCCTTCCCCCCTCCTGGAGTAGATCATGGCTGTTTCTGGCGCCTGTTTCGAGCAGGTGGAGTCTCCCCCGTAGGACGCACTGCTGCAAACAGTCGCATTAAGCTGAGGTTCAGAGCCAGACCCCCCTCCTCGACCCCCCTTTTCGCCCAATGTCGAAGCGCTGGAGGAAACGTCCACCTTCGAACACAGCCTGGGCCCATCGAGGTCTGCGGTCGTTCTTCTTGACGTCCTCGCCGCCACGATGAGGGGCGCGGCTCGAAGGGCTGGCCGGGAGGGAACCCCGGGCGCATAGGGGGTCGCATGTGGCTTCGGGCGAGGTTCTCCCTCCACGCGCTTTTATCTTCTGCAGTCCTTTGCCTGATCGATGGAGTGCCGCACATTGCTTTACAAGCCCTAGTGCGCCAGGCGGAATAGCTATGTGATCCACTCTGCTGGTGTGGCCCGAGTGCCCGTAGTATGTAGGCCCTACTTTATAGTGACTAGTGACTACACTGAGGTCGGTTGTCTGGCACAGTTTTCTGTAGCTGGTGCCGTCGGCGTTCTCTATACTCGGCTGCTGCCTGCTTATATGCGGGCCTCTGCTGCTTACCACCGTCGACCAGGAGGTAGAGGCAGTGGGGAGGGCGAAGTGGGGGGCGGCTCTTTCAGAGCCGACCAGGGCACTGCCTGGGACCTACCGGGGGGGCAGTGCGACAGGCCATGCTTACTACGTCTGTGAAGAACAAGGCACAGGACGAAGTAGACGAGCTAGCGAAGAAAGCAAAAGCGACCCGTCTTCAGTTACTACGACGACGAGGGAGCATACGACAACGATTCGCCGACGAAGCCACGGCCGACAAATACGACGAAGTAAAAGCCGAACTCAAAGAACTCAGCGCTGTACTCAGGCAAGTCAGGAAACAGGTGGAGGAGTAAAGGGGGGCCAAGTTCTTAGAGCGCATTTGGGAGGCCTACGAGCTCAGGAACTTTGCAGAAATGCATCGACTGAGAATACAATACCAGCGGAACGTCAGAGGCCCGAAGAAGCGTTACTACATTACCCCCCAAAAAGGTGGCCCACATAATACTTGTTGAAAGAGCTGGGACGACCGGCGCTCGAGGGCGGACTCGGAGCACAACCGATCGACCGAAACGAAATTCGAGCCGAGCACGCACAATGCGTTTCTGACGACATCGAGCGACTACCGACAGGCACCGAATTAAGAGGCCAGGTAGAAGACGCCAAAAAGGTGATGTTACGATACTGTCGGATGGCGTACAAACGAAGAGCATGGCCAGCATGGGGGATACCGACAGAATTGACTTGGCTACTACTCGACCCCTCCCTCCACCTTAGGAACCCCACCGACGAATCCGACCAGATAGAGCTCCGCAGGGTAGCAGCAGCGGAACAGAGAGGACACGAGGAGGACCTGCAGCATTACACTACCCTGGGGAAGTTCAAGAAAGGAAGGGGATTATTACAACAAATGGGGTGGACTATGGGTACAGTTCTGGGCAAGGCAGAAGGGTTGGTGGACGACGACAACTACGCAGAAATGCGGGAACAACGGTCGTGCGGAGTGGGCAGGGGGACCTAGGCAGGATTAGGAGCGCCAAGGATACGAAAGCTCCAGAACAAGTACAAGTACTACCTCGCCCAGTTCTTTCTACAGTATCGCAGCTGCCAGGCTACGGCGTTAGATCGGCATCGCTCACAAGCCTTCCCAGCGGAGAAAAACAACGAAGGACGATGTACTAGACAAGCGGGTACTGCGCGTCTACGACTCATTCGGAATGGCACGGCGTTCAGGGATGCAACAACAAGGTTGCCCGACCGACCGCCCACCATGGGCGCGCGGAGGTCAGCCACGCAGGTGCAGGGGACAATTCCATTATATGTGCGCAGGCCGCCCAGTGGAGGGCCGCGCAAGGAGGGATCGACACCATCGCCGCCAACTGCGACGGCACCCGCGCCTATGCAGCCACAAAGAGAGCATTATTTAAAACCGTTGCGTGTATAAGCGCACACGAAATAGACCAACGATACGCAGTGGCTGCCGTCGACCACTCCACCGCGTCAATCGAGGCGGCGGACGGCCCAGCAGAAGTGGAAAGCACGACGCGGGCACAAATGGGCCCCACTCCCTGCCCACGAGAGTTTAACGACGCGTGCAACATCTGCGTCAGCAAATGGTGGTCACAGGAGAGAAGCGACCCAAGCCCGACCATACACGACACCTACGACCCAGTGGGAGGCAAAAACGCACGGCATAGGCCTCAACACATTCATGGACGACATCACCCATGTACAAATTATGCCAGACAAGGGGCGCATGATATATAAACACACATCAACAGCACCACCTGCCGACTAACCGACGAATGTGCGGCTTTAACCGCCGTAGAGCAAACAGCTTACTATATCTAGCGGGAAGGGGAAACTACGGCACTGCCATGGCAATACGACGCAGCACCGCACTAAGAGGATTCCGCCCTCAGAGAAATGACTGCACTGGGGCCGCTCCTGCATCGCAAGCGAATTGGCCAGACGCATCAGTGCGATAAGACTAGCGTGGCGACAACGCGGTATCTTCTGGACATCCGAGACACCACGACATATCAAACGACTGATGTACATGGCCTTCGCCAAAGGAGCGGCCCCCAGCGGACCAACTACGCCCGCCGCAAATACAGCATGCGCCAATTCGCTATGCAGTGTGCTAGGTAGGTAAATACTCTCCTACACTATCATGAGGAGCTACGTCTCGGAGAAAGGGGGGCGGCCCCACGCGCTGCAACAATCTGCGACAAGTATTCTGGCACTGGAGGATGGAAAGCCCGGGTGTTGTACTGACGGCATAACGATTAGGGCGGAGCCAGAGCTGGCCCCGCTGCCTCAGGAGCAAGGCGCAGTGCTTGCTGAAGTATTCCCCCCCCCCCCGGCTAGACGCATCACGGGGGGTCAGTAGGCCCGCGGGCGCGAATTAGCCAGGGTCAGATTCTACCCCGTTGGCCCCACAATTTGCAGCAATCATGCAGCTTCGACTGAGAGAGGCGAGGGGGTGGGATGACACGCGCAACGAGACTCCGACCTGGCTGTATTTGAAACAGGAAGCGCATAACAAAAACTCTGGTTACAGACAGACCCCGGAACACTGCGCAGCCATGAAAGAAACTGGGACGCGCTAGCGAGGAAGGGGGCAGGAGGTCGCAGAGGTCAAGGGGGGAAGAGGAGGAATACGACTGCGACCTAACTGTTGCAACTGCGCACGCGTGGACACAAAGGGAGCGGAAACTACGCGTGGAGAGAGATTTCTAATTTGCGCGGCTCTTGCGGGGCGCAGACAGGAAGTGCGCAACATTAGACAAGTTGTTGCACCAGTCATAGTCAACAGCCAGCGCCTGCGGTGTAAGAGTACGCTCGTAGACAGGAAAACAACAGTCGACCTTGCCACGAGATCGGCCCACAGGCGCGGGGTGCGCCGCCGGGACAGGTCCAAGTGGGCCCGCCCCACGGCATAACCCAGGGCTCTAACGCGCAGAATCTGCACCTATCAAGCCCGAGCGTTAGAGGAGTACCAGGCGCGCATGCGGGGGCACCTCGCGGGCCCCGAACAGATCCGAGCAGCGCAAGGCGGCGCTGCACATGGCCTCGTGCGCCGCGGTCGAGCAGACGGAGTGGGGGTCGAGCGCCCACCGCCGTCAGGCCCAGAAGAACTACGACCGCAGAAGCAGGCCAACATCGGCGAGGGCAGCGGCAGCCAGGAGAACCCGCCAGGAGCCCGAGGAGGAGGGCGAGGTCGCGGACCCCGCGAGGCGGAGGCCCAGGCGGGGGGCGAGAGGGGGCGCAAGCGCGCCCGCGAAGCAGCACGCGCGCACTACAGCGGCTGGCTCTACAGAGCGCAGCAGAGATTCGCAACCTCCCCCACTTCACCGGCGAGTTCGGGCTGGCCCCCCCCGCAGGAGAATGGGCCCAGGCACCGATAGAGACAGGCCGCGAGCACGGCAGGAAGGCGAAGGCAAAGGGAAGGGGCCACGGACGCGCCCCCCCCCCGCGGCCGCGTCGCAGCTGCATTCATGGAAAGTATAGTAGAGGCGCTCAATGGCAAGGTGCAGGACTACGGCCAGCCGACGCCGCGCGCGACGAAGACCCTCGCGGAATTGATGGAACAGCTGGACTGGCCACGGGGGCCGACGTTCGTGACGGAGGTCCCCCTGCAGCGCAAGATTCAGGGGGCCTACGAGCCGTCGGGCGAGGGGGTGGAGACGGGGCCGCGCAAGGCCAAGGTCACGTACGTCATCGGCACTTCGCCGTCGGTCAGGGCGGCGCTTTTCGAGCAGAACTTAGACTGGGCCCAGTGCGAGAGGATCCTAGGCTTCTAGGGGGACATGTTCAAGCAGCCTTCGGGGCGGCGCTCGCGTTCCTGGGCGCCAAGAAGAGCCGCTCAGGAGGTCCGACAACGGGCCTGGAGAGGGCGTTGGAGGCCCGGCTCAGCAGGCCCGCCACCAGAGAAGCCCAGCAGCCCTCAGCCGCCAGACGTGGCGGCCCCGCGAGCGCCTCTTCAGGGCCAGCAGGACTAAGGCCATCCAGCGATAGCCCCCCCCCCCCCTCAGTCCCGCAGCGCACCAGAGACGAAACACTAGCGACGCAGATCAGCAGCGACTTCGAGCAATACGCGGCACTAAGAGACAAAGCGTCACGACTTGGGGGACACATGGCGGAAACATTACGAATGGCGACTTACTATCGGAATGACGTTCGAGGACTACTATCAGGCCATGGGAACACAACGAGATATGGTTGGCACCTCAAGATAAGCCAACCTACTCTCAGGGCGGCGGCCGCGGCCGTCGAGCTTCGCACTCCAGCGCGGGAGGCAGCGATTGAGACGGAAAAGGTGGCGATTCGAAACCAGCTGAGCGCGGGGGTTGAAAAGGCGATCAGGTTCCGGAGCCGCGCAGTACCGCCTGGGGGTGCGCCACGAGATGCCGCGGAGCACCAGTGCGAAGTGCGACGACACCATCCAGCACAACCAGATGGCCGTCTACGGCCTATGCAAGCAGCAGGAGCGCATCGCGATGAGCCCCACGAGGATCGCGGCCAGCAGGAGCCCAAACGCAGACGAGGAGATCGAGTGCACCCACGCGGCGGAGTTCAGGCAGCAGCCGGACGAGAACAGCAAGGCGATTGAGCACTACCGCGGCGTCGAGATCATCCTCCATATTTTTTCTTTGCCCCCGCATCGCTCCGACAGCAGTGGGGAGCGGGGGAGGGGGGAGGGGGGGGGGGGCGGGGGGGAAGTGCTCTCAACGGCCCTGGGCTCGTCCCAGTCGGGGAACTCCCAGGGCCGCCTGCGTCCGCCAGTCGGCTCTTCAGGGCAGGGTCTCCCTGCTACGGCGCAGCGGCCCATCGCCGCAGGGTCGGGGGCCGCGCGCGCCAGGCAACCCTCGGTCGCATCAGTGACGGGGGGCCTGCATCCATATCCCCACCCAGGGGTCAGCTCAGCAAGTAGGGTGGCTGACACTCAGACCCCCGAAGGCATTATCCTCCTCCTCCTCCTGCTCCTCCTGCTCCTCCTCCCCCCCCAACCTCCCCTTCCGCCCGAGCCGACAGCGCGTGCTCAACCTCCCCGGCGGATCCGACGGGGGAGGCGATTATTGCTCCGTCCTGAGTACCCATGCCGCTACCCTCCGCCTGCATTCCCCTTTTTTCTGCCTCCTGGGAGGCCTTCGCCGCCACCGCTGGATTCGCCACGACGTTATGGTCAGAACATGCCCCAGGATGGATCTGGGGAGTAGCGGCATCGGTACTTTTTGGTCTCTCCAGGATCGCCCAGGATGGAGCCCGCAACGGATTCTCGGGAGCTTTTGAGACGGGGATCGTTGCAAACGGGGGTCAGCCAGAGCGCCGGATCTTGCAGGATCTTGCGAAGCCAGCGGGGCTGCGTTGACCCGGGTCAGCGCGCCAGTTCTTGCAGGATCCTGCAGATATTGCAGGATCTTGCCAAGCCTGACTGATCCGCGGTTGCACTGATTCGGGTCAGTAGAAACCCGAGATTCGGGGACGGGCGTTGAAAGGATGTTGGACGACGCCGGCACCGCCGCCGTAGTCGATGTGGTCGTCGTCGCCGTCGTTTTCGTCGTCATTGTCGTTTGTCGTCGAGGTTGTCGTCGCGGCAACAGGACGCGCTTCGCAGTATTACAGGCGAGCAGAGCGTATGGCTACTGAGTCGAAGGACGCTCACGGTCAAACGTTGGGGTCGTTAGAGTGCTACGAACGGTTATCGGGTCCGGCCGGCGCCGATATCCACCCGCTTCTAATTCCCAGGCTGCGTCGCCGGAGATTGCTGGTTCATCTCCTACTTCTGATCATGATGATGTCGAGGAGGAGGACGCGGGGGAAGCGGAAGAGCATCAAATCGAATCGTGGGGCGTTTGGCTACAGAGGACGGCACGTAGAGCAACAGTTGGACACGTTGGGGAGATTCTGGACTGGAAGACGCAATACAGTAGGCAGAAATGGCGATGTGCCGGCAAATTGTTGCAGTCAGATCGGGAAAAATCGTCTCATGCTATTTTTGGTTGGGAGCCGGGTCGCATCTACTCGACCAGGGAACGCACTGGCAGGCCCCCCCGAAGATGAGAAGACAGTTTTGTTGCCCTTTGTGCGTCGCATCGTCAATCGGGCGAAAACTGGAAGACTGTAGCTTCAGACTCTAAATGGTGGGCTGATGTGGAGAAGTACCACGCGGACCCGTGAGCGTAGCCGCCGTTTTCCTCCGCGTCGTTGCCCAGGGCGGGTCCGCCCGCGTTCTGGCAGCGCCCGCTCTCCCCTTGAGTGGGGCCAGCCCCCGGCTGTGTAGAGCGAGTCTGTCTGTCTGTGTGCTTCGGGAGGCGGCGCCAATAGTCGCCAACGAGAGACGGGGTGGGAAATCGGACGGGATTCCAAGAGTGATAGCAACCCAAGCGTGTTGCCGAACAGAGGCGGCCTTTCACTTCTGGCAGGCCCCGCGCACCACAGGGTTCCCTCCCCCGCCCGCTCGTCGTCCGAGCCCAGCTGGCCGCCGATACGAGGAGCCCCCCCTGATTTATGATGTTCCAGCCTACTTTGGCCTTGATCACCGGAAAGAATTCGAGCGCCAAGGAAGTACCAAAATTGGAGGGTTTTCACGTGTTGGGCCCTCGGAGGCGATGCTCGTTCGACAGTTCGCCTTCGCGTCGGGTAGACACCGTGTCGATACTTTCCTGGGTGCTCGAAATTGTTTTTGGGATGTGGTCCGCGAGTACGATCGGAGCAGAACCCCAGATGCCCCCCGAGGCCCCGGAGAGATCAAGCATGCCGTTCGCTGTTGATGTCGCCAGCGGGGTCAGACTCGAGCAGTTCTCGGCGACCCCCGTGTCGCCATCGCTGCCCCCGTCACCGCGGGAGCCGCCCGCGCTGCCCCCCTTGCCCCATCGAGGACGAACCGATGGGCGTCGCGGAAGACGTGCGGCTCGTCGGCTTCGACGAGGCGGCGCGCGGCGCACCCGCGCGCTCACGCGTCCAGAGCGTTCAGGGCGTCCATCAGACGCCGGCACGATGGCGCGCAACGACGACGTCGTCATCGTCGTCGCTATTTTGGAGGCCTTCGTCGCGCGCTTCTGCGGGTGCTCGTGGCCACGACCTGGGCCCGGCTCGAGGGGCGGGCCAGGGCGGACCCCGAGGGCGGCTCTGAGGGGCTGGGGGGGCGCCATGAATGCGAGTCGTCTCGATTGAGACAGTCGGCGGCGAGCGAGGGGAGGAAGTGAGAAGGAGGAGGCCTTCTCAGGAGGCGGCGGGACTTCTCAGAAGCCCTCGTGCCTCCTGAGGAGCTTTTTGTTGTTTCTGCGGGGAGGGCTCAGACACTTCTCAGAAGGCCAGGGGACTTCGGAGCCTTCTGAGAAGGCCTTCTCTTTCTCACTTACCCCCCTCGCTCGCCGCTGAGGCAGGTCACCATCTTCAGCCTCCGGGAGCCCTTCCCAGGCCCCCAGACCAACCCGAAAAAACGACTCGGGATGAAAAAAATCGTCCCGGGGAAAGCTTGTGGTGCAAGAGCCAGGGAGTCACCTTTTTGGTCGCTCCCGTCAACCGTTGCCAGAAGGAGGAGGGAAGAGGGAGGGAGAGAAGAAAGATGGAATGTAATTATCAGTAGACCGCGGGCTTTGCGCCAGGCGTGCTCCTGGGGGTATCAGCAATTGACGCTTAGCCGAGATATATGACAGCACTCGCACAGTAGGACCCAACATGTGAATATTCTCGGGCAGTCTGGAAGTATCATCGATGGCTGCTGCTCTCTGCTGCTCTCTGCCGCTCTCTGCTGGGCTCTTTGGTCTCTGCTGCTCTCTGCTGGGTTCTGCGGGTCTCTGCTGCTCTCTGCTGGGCTCTGCTGGTCTCTGCTGCTCTCTGGAAGGTTCTGCGGGTCTCTTTTGCTCTCTGTTGCTCTCTGGTCTCTGCTGATCTCTGCTGGTCTCTCATGCTCTCTGCGGGTATCTGCTGCTCTCATGGTTTGAGAATGATTGATATGGATATTGAGACCGACTGTAAGATCGATAGTCAGATCGATAGTGGGATCGATCGTGAGGACGATAGTAAGATCGATCGTGAGACCGATAGTGAAGTCGATTCAGTGAGATCGATAAGGAGATCGATCGTGAGGTCGCTCGTGCGATCTATAGTGGGATCGATCGTCAGAGTGAGATCGATTGTGAGATCGAAAGAGAGGTGGCTATTGAGATCGATGGTGAGACCGATCGGAAAGGAGATCGAACAGGAACCAGGGAAGCCGGAAACCCGGGAACCCCGCCCCCCACCGAAGTCGGCCCGGAACCAGCAACCGGGAGCCCGGGAACCCGAACCCGGGAACCCGTGAGCCCGGCCGCCCATTGAAATCGAGCCTCCGCGCTGCTGCGACGAGGCGAGACCTCGAGGCTGGCGGCCGCTGGGCGCCCGTGTCGGGAGGCGCCCAGCGGGGGCAGCACGCACGGGTCCGGATCCCCACAGAGGATGGTGAGCATCCGGAGTGGGGGCTGCGGCTTTCAGCAGGGCGTCGCGTCATGCTCAGGAGGGGAAAAAATGTACAGACACAATGAACCGTCGACTCCCAGGAAAATATGGGGACATATGGGACGTGCGGGGGAAGACGAAGTTCCCGAAAATGTTGAAAACCATGGGGGGATCCTGGGATTGGTGTGTATTTCGCTGTGTGCCCCTGGGCCCCTTCCGAAGTGCGGGGGGCCGCGAGGGCCGCAGGCCCAAATGGGGCCCTTCGGGGCCACCCAGGAGGCCTCCAGGGTCCGAGAAGGGCACCTTCCCCCCCCCCCCCCAATTCATCTCAGGAAGGGAAAAAACACACCGACACGAGTAATCGTCGATTCCCCCGGAAAATATGGAAAAATATGGGAAGTGGGTGGGGGGGAAGACGAAAACCCAGAAGATGTGGGAAACAATGGGGGATACAGTTATTTGTGTGCATGTATTTGCGTGTCCCAGGGCCCCTTCACATTCATCGCCCGCAGGAAGTTCGCGCCCGAGTCAGCTGCCAGAATGAGGGCTGCGCTCTTCAGCCAACAGGGCAAGAGAAGAAGCAGAGGATGATTAGAGAGGGAGGAGGGGGGAAGGAGAAGGAAGGAGACAAGAAGCTGCAGGGGTGGATTTTCCTCCCTCGTCTCCCTCCTCCTCTTCCCGTTCACTTTCGTGCTTCCAAGATGGTGAGTAGTTGTTATTGCTTTTCCAGCGTTCTCAGGACTGGAGGGCCATGATTGACCCCTAGCTGTCTCTCCACTGTAAACAAGGATTTCGTTTCCTCTCCAGCAGAGGGAACACCTGTTCGCAGGGCTCGCCGCAGTCGGAAGGGCGTCATGGCTTGACGTCGGAGGCGCGCAATCTGCCCACACTCTCGAAAGGTGCATGCGGCGTAAGAGAACGTGCAGAACATGGGCTGGACTCGGGAACGATGAATGTTGACTATGATGGTGGGCGGACGAGACAAGTTTGATCAGTATTGTAGGGGCGCGGTTGCTACGACATTTGATCGTTTGTGTCAATATGTTTGCCTGGTTGATGTTGCCAGGGGTGATAGTAGCGCAGTTCCGGCAGCAATGACATGTGGTGCCAACGTTGGTAGTAGTGAGGGAGTGATGTAGCCGCATTTGGACTGGCAAACGCAGCTCGTCGCAGCGGCAGTCGTATGCGCTGTAATACGGGCACTGGGGTAGACGACGTAGTTGCAGTGGATGTGGCGGTGAGCATGTGAGTTTCGCTTACAGCCACGGCTCTCAGACTCTCATTGGGGACGTTCATGCCGCACGTGTCGCAGTATAGGTTTAGAAGGTATAACAAACGAAGTCAATATGGGGCTTGTTATGTTTCATGGGTTCAGTGTATGTTGTGGTTAGGGTCGCCAGTCTCATTAAGGAGATGAGTAGTACAACGGCAGCAGTTCACCAGCTCACTGGCGGTGGGGCTCGGGCTTCGGGCAACCCATCCTCTCGTATATAAAGCGGCCCTTGCGGGCAAGACTTGTGTCCATATCCACTGCAGCCTGGAGTTTCGGGCTCCCGTCCACAGAACCCCGAGGCGCACTGGATGTGGATGAGAATCTGGCCCCGATAGGGGCCCGAATTTTTCCATCTCCAGTGCGCCTCGGCCGTGTGGTGCCCCTTCCAGGAAAGGCCAAGACGAACTGCATATGGATGTACATATTGCTCGAAGCCATCCCTCAGAGCTGGACCTAAACGGTGTTTTTGGTGATTTCGTAGGCCGTTTTCGTTTCGATGTTGTTTTGCGTTAAAGGCGGATTGAAGGCAAAACGAGGGAAAACGAAAACATAACGAAAACCAGAAACACCGTTTAGGTTCAGCCCTGGTCCAGTGCGCCTCGGCCTTGTGGTGCCCCTTCCAAGAAAGCCCAAGACGCACTGCATATGGATGTACATGTTGCCCGAAACCCTCCCTCCCTTGCGCATGTGCTCTGATGGCCCTGCAGCAGCCGCCGCTCCGCCGGGGGGCGGTGTCCGCGGGGGTCCCGGGCAGCCGACTCCGAGCGGACGGGCGAGCGAGGAGCCGCCGGGCCGGCCCCGCGGAGGCCGAGCCAGTTCCTCGGCCGAAAGGATCTCGCGAAGCCCCCTCTCCGAAGCTGCTCTCGCCGAGGCGAGGCCGAGGTCGCCGAGGCGAGGTCGCCCTTCTCTGCACCTGCTGCTCGGTGCATCGTGCTCACAGCACTTCCCACAGGTGCCGTGAGTAGTCGCCGCTGGCTTAGCCGGGGAGGTGACCGAAAAAAACCGCCGGGTCCTCGGCGGGCCGTCTTGGGGGCCTCTTGGCACGTCGGCGGGCTATCTCGGAGGTCTCTGGTCCTCCGTCGTGATTTCCCGCGGCCTGCAGACCTCGGGGGCCCCCTGAGCCTGGCGGGCGGCGGGCGCGCCCTCGGCGAGAGACTGTCGCGGCTTGTCGGCGGCACCGCAGGCGCTCAGCGCAGACCGCGGCACAGGCGGAGACGCCCAGATGGCGCCCGCGGAGACTCCGCCGCCGCCAGTGTTCGTCGTCGTCGCCTTCCGCAGCAGGGTACAGTCAAGACGCTGAAATAAGGAACAGTTTGGGTTCGGAAGGGGCTGGATGTTCCTTAGGTTCCTCCAGTGTTGTTCCTCTTGCCCTCCTGGGGCACGGAGGCGCTCACAGGGCCAAGAAGGGGCCTCGTTCCTTATTGAGCGTTCCTTCTTTAAGCAGCCCGACTCTATGCCACCACCGTGCTTGGCCAGGGCCATCCTGGGCCCCAGGATGGGGTGCAGGGTACATGCCCTCCTGGCCTCGGCCTGGATAGCACACAGTGTGCCAGGATCCAGCATGGCCCTGGCCAGGCACGGTGGTGGTGTATAGCAACTTTCTGCCTATCGCCTGCGGCCGCAGGAGGCTCTGAGGGACTAGCAAGGGGGCTGCGGAAGGCTGGGGCGTTCCAGAGAGGGCATCGCCTTCGGGGCTTCGAGAGGCTGGCTTCGCTTCTTCGTCGCAGGGGTGGGGAAGGCCGGCTTGAGGGCGGCAAGAGTCGAATGGCGGCGCTGGCGCGGGGGCCTGCCAGAGCGGCGGGTCTTGCAGGATCCTGCAAAGCCAGGGTTGCATTGACCCGGGCTAGCGCGCAGGATTTTGCAGGATTCTGCCAAGCCCGACTGACACGGGTTTGCATTGACCCAGGCCAGTGCGTCCTCGACCCTCTGTCGGGGGCGTCCAAGAGGAGATTGTGCTTTTATCCTCTGTCGTGCGGCAGTCGTTAACCGGGTTCCCTCCCTGTGTAACGGAAACGATACTACGGATGGGGTGGGGCCCGACCCCCCTTCCCTACGCATGCTGGTGCTCGCGCGCGTACCATGGCGACCACAGCGCACCCTGGCCTCGACGCGTCCCACTCACCGTGGCCCGGGGCCCCACCCCTGCCCTGGGTAACGACCGTCACCGGACATACAACAGACGAATTCCAAGAAGACCCAGGAGGGTGATGATCAGGGAGGGGGGATGGGGCTCATGTCCAGGGCCATGACGTCTCCCAGATTTCATCGCCTCCTCGTTTCTCTTTCAGCACGCACCCTGGCCCCCACTCGTGCGCACACGTGCCGCGGGCCATGATGCGCAGCCCCCCCCCCCTCTTCCTGGGCGCACCAGGCTCCAGGCTCCAGGGGGGGGGGGCGTCGGGGTGGTGGTGGAAAGGGGACGATCGGCGACGAGCGAGGGGAGGAAGTGAGAAGGAGGAGGCATTCTCTGAAGGCGGCGGGACTTCTCAGAAGCCCTCGCGCCTTCTGAGACGCTTTTTGTGTCTTCGGGGAAGGCTTGGAAAACTGCTCAGAAGGCCGGGGGACTTCCAAGCCGTCTGAGAGGGCCCGCCCCTTGTCACTTCCCCCCCTCGCTCGCCGCCGAGAAGAGTAGACTAAGGAGGAGGAGGAGGAGGAGGAGGAATAAGATGATTGTGCTTACATATTTGGGTGTCCTGGCCTCGTGGCCGGATGGCTGGGAGCCTTGGGCGAGAGGGCCAGGGTGGAATCTGTCAGGAAGGGGGCGGCGAGTGGGTGGAAGCACGACCGTCCTGCCACGACTGAGAGGGAGGATACTTTGCTTTGCCTCCTCTCTCCCTTCCTCCCTTTCTCCTCACTCGTCCCGCCCTCCCTTCCTCGCGAGAATCACTTCGAGTGCGGCTCGGGGGCCGAATGCGTCTCGGGTGCGGGATCCTTGCCCTGCTGTCCAGCGCCTTAGGGGTCGATGGTGTCCACGTGAACTACAACGGAGTCGAGGCTGCCATGGTCATCGTCGAAGGGACTGCGGGAGGAGCGATCAGGGACGGCGGGGGGGGGGGTCAGTGGGACCTTCCAGGTCTGCACGGGCTTCCTCGCAGAATCGCTTCTCTCTAGGGGGCGCGGCGCACGTTCGGAGTCGGAGCCCAGGGTTGGCACCAGGGTTGGACCTAAACGGTAGTTGGGCGATCTCGTGGGCCGTTTTCGTGTCGACTTCGTTCTGCGGTAGGGGCGGATTGAAGACAAGACGAGGGGCAACGGACGCAAAACGAAAGCGAAAAACGTTGTTTGTGTCGAGCTCCCGAGCCCTCGGGCCCAGGACCGCTCGAGCGGCGCTGGCGCGCAGCATCCCGAGCGCACGTCGACGGGAGGGGAAAAAAACGCACGGTCACAATGACGCGTAGATTCCCATGGGAATGCGGGAAAATATGGTAAGCGTGGGGGGGGAGGACGAACTCGCAGCAAATACAAGAAGACAGGGGGCATCCTGGGATTAGTATGTGCTTACCTGTTTGTCGCTGGGCCCCTTCACTCTCCAGGACCACTGCCTGGGGCGGTCGAGAGGCGGGGACTTCTCCAGGACCACTCGAGAGGTGGGGACGTCTCCATGACTACTGCCTGGGGGGTCGATCTTCGGGGACCTCCGCATGTCTGCTTCGATTGCGTCGCCTCCTTGGGTTGTGTGTATCTAGATGTGAGTGTATGTGTACGTGTGTATGTGTGTATGTGTATGTGTGTATGTATGGAAGTGGGTGACATGTAAGGTAATGAAATGTTATGTAAGTCATGTCTGTATGTACGTACGGGTATGTGCGTACGTATGCAGGTCGGAGGGTAGGTAGGTAGGTAGGTAGGTAGGTATGTATGTATGTGTGTAGGTGTGTATGTCTGTATGTATGTATGCGTGTATATAGGGTGCATGTGTATATGTATGCATGTGTGCATGTATGTATGCATGTGCGGTATGTATGTATGTACGTATGTACGTATGCGTGCCTGCCCGTATGTCTGTCTGCCTGTCGGTTGTCCGTCTGTGTGTATACATGTATATATGTATGTACGTATGGGTGGATGGATCGATGCATGGCTGCATGCATGTATGGTCTGTATGGTATGGTATATATGTTTGTATGCAATGCGTATAGTCTGCATAGATGCAGGCATGGATGTGTGCGTGGATGTATGCATGTAGATCATGTAGTGTGGTGTAATGTAGTGTAATGGTATGTAATGTAGTGTAATGGGGTGTGATGTAATATAGCGTAGTGGATGGTATGTATAGTATGTATGGTATGGCTGATACGTATAGTCTGTATGGTCGGTCTGGTATGTGTGGTATGTGTAGTCTGTGTGGTATGGATGTATGCATGTATGCAATTCGCATGTATGTTTCGTGTGTATGTTTGCATGTATGTATGCATGCATGTATGTACGTACGCACGTACGTACGTATGCATGTGTGTATGTATGTATGTATGTATGCATGTATGTATGTATGTATGTTTGTATGGATGTATGTATGTATGTGTGTGTATGTATGTATGTATGTATGTATGTATGTATGTATGTATGTATGTATGTATGTATGTATGTGTGTATGCATGCGTGCATACATGCATGCATGCATGCATGTATGTATGGATGTGTGTATGTATGTATGTATGTATGTATGTATGTATGTATGTATGTATGTATGTATGTATGTATGTATGTATGTATGTATGTATGTATGTATGTATGTAATATGTATGTATGTATGCATGCATGCATGCATGCATGCATGTATGTATGTATGTATGTATGTATGTATGTATGTATGTGTGTATGCGTGTATTATACATATGTATGTAATGTTTGGCATGTATGACATGTATGGTATGCATGGCATGCTTGGTTTGTATGTATGTGTGTTTGTGTGTATGTAGGTAGGTAGGTCGGTCGGTCGGTAGGTAGGTAGGTAGGTAGGTGTATGTGTGTATGTATGTGGGTGGGTAGGTATGCATACATGCATGCATGCATGCATGCATGCATGTATGTATATATGTAAGTATGTATGTATGTATGCATGTGTGTATGGATGTATGGGTGTGCATGTCTGTATGTTTGTATGCATGCATACATGCATGCATGCATGCAGGCATGTGTGTAGGGTTGTATCGCTGTATGTATGTATGTATATGTATATATATATGCATGAATCTAGGTGTGTACATATATGTATATGTATATATACATATGTTGTCGAACCCTGGGGAGGCCAAACATGTACACATCCACCGCCTGCCGACGTCCCTGGAGTTCGACCCCCCGGGCGTTGCAGACGGGGACCTGGAGGCGTCTGCTGCAGCGGCGTCGTCTGCCGCCAGGCCACGGCGCCCAGAGGCTGCCCGCCGCGCGGCCGCTCCTGGCGTCACCCCGCGTGGATTTCTGCGCGGAGGTCGCGGGTGGAGCCTGGCGGAGCGGGCTCTCCTCCGGAGGGCGTCTTTCTCACACGCCAGAGAGAAAGGCAGCGCCTCCAGCTCCTCCTCCTCCCTCTCCTCCTCCTCCTCCAACTCCATCTCCTCCTCCTCCCCCTGCTTTTTCTCCTGCTTTTCCTCCTGCGTTTCCTCCTCGCCCTCCTCTTCCTCCTCCTCCTCCTCCTCCTTCTCCTCCTCCTCCTCCTCCTCCGCTCACACCGAAGAGGAAGGCAGCCAGAGCGGCCAGAGCGCGCAGTCGTTCGAGCAGTAGCGAAGCGTCCTGGGTTGCCTATAGGCCCACCGGAAGAGTGTTCTAAGAAGCTTTTGTGGTTTGCACGAAGTCTTCTCAGAACGTTTCTGGCTGGGACCGTCTTGTTCAAATACATCGGCTTATGCTATAGCAAGACTGTTTTTGTTATGAGAACTCGAAGGACATGTCGTGGTAGGCCTTTAGGAATGCCGGGACGGTCAGTCCCTGCTCAAGTCGTGGTCCACGGGGATTCCGGCGCTGACGGCGACGACGGGGTTGATGACGAGGACAATTGGGCGCCCTTGTGCAGGAGCCGAAGCCTCCGCAGGAGGCCCCGGCGGAGATGCCAGAGGAGCCGCCCGCGGGCGCGGAACACCTGAAGGCTCCATGGGCCCGCCGCCGCCGACGTGGCCGCTGTTGTCGCAAACCCGTCGTGACCGTCGCCGTTGATCTATCGAGGATCGCTGCCGTGGATCGCCGTCGTTCAGCCATGCGAAGCGGGGGGGGGAGGGGAAGGCTTTTTAGAAGCACCCCTGCCCCTTAGAAAGCACGGGATTTCCCTGTAGGTACAGGTGGCACCTTCTAAGCAGCAGCCTCCTTCAAGAAGTCTTCCACCCCTCCCCCTACCCCCTCGTGCGCGCCGCCCAGGATCGCCGCCGTGGATCGTGGATCGATCGATCGAGGTTCGATGGATCGAGGGTCGCGTCCTGTCGATCGAGGAAAGCTGGTGTGGCCGCCTCCACCAACCTCGATGTGGTGGACAGGCGGCGCTCGAACGCAGGATCATCGCCAAGAAGGAAAGGGGTCCCTGAGGTAAAGGGGTCGTCAGGGTTTCCGCCGCGTTTGGCTTCCCAAGGCCCTTCATGGCCCCCCCGACTGTCAGGAACCGATTCAGGAGGAAGATCACGTCCTGACGGAAGACCCCATTGTCCAGGACCTGTTTCCTTCAGGACCCCTTTCCCCCATGCTAAGATAAGTAGGAAATGCCGTCTCGGCGCAGCACCGCATCCAGACGCCCTCTTCCCGAAGGCATCCATTCGTGTGACTTGTGCCACGCTTGTCAGCCGACGGGTAAGCGGAGCACAACTGCAGGACCCGCCTCAGCTTGACAGCAGGACCTCGGAGACGAACGGCGGCAGTCTGCGGCCCTCGGGCGAGTGGCAGGATAATGCGGACCTTCAGGGTGTGAGCGAGGTGGACAGACCTCCCACCCTGACACGTCGACTAGTGTGAATTGTCCGTTTTCGGTTCTCGAGAGGGCGCCGCGGCCGTCATGTTCCAGGCTTGCGCCCGCCAGGTTTGGGCCCGAGGTCGTTATCACTAAACCACGTTTTGCTGAAGGGAGTTCTGTCCATCCCCGACTTTTGCGACCTCCAATGCACGGCACGCCCGTAATACGTGATCTGTTTCGCAATTCAGTCCAGATGTGCAAGGACTGCCAGCGTGACGCTTGGCGACAAGAAACACACATGATGAGAATGATAATTGATTGGGCACGTGCCTGGTCAAATGGTTACGTGGGAGCCAGGGAGGGGCCAAGAGGGAGGGGAGGGATGAGGAACCAGGAGGAAGGAAGGGCGAGGCGGAACAGCAGGAGGGCGCTTGGCATGAGGAAGAGGCAACGACGACGGCGACGACGACGGACGGCGAAGACGACGACGACCGAGATGTACAGTTCGACGAGTGAAATTACGAGGCCGACGACGGATCGACCGACCGACCGATCGATCAACCATGATGACGATGATCGACGACCACCAACGATGACGACGACTGCCAGCAGGACGGGCCATGACAAATACGGCAGCGACGACGACGACCACCGCCACCACGACTGCGACGACGATTGCCGTGGAGCCGCGTTCGCTGAGCCCCAGCCGCCAGGTGTCATTCCGGCTGCCGACGGGAAAGAGAGAGACCAGGCGGGGGCCGCCAAAGCCATGCCGCTGTCTTGGTCGCCGTCGAGCCTTTCAAATCCCCAGCCTCCAGTCGTCGTCCTCTCTCCTCCTTCTTCCTCCCTCCCCCCTCTTTCCTTCCACTGCACATCTCTCCTCCCCCCTCCTCCCCCTTCCCTGCGCATTTCTTCTCCCCCCCTCCTCTCACTCCGCCCTCCTCGCTCGAGCCACATCCGAGGTTGGGCGAGCGAGCCCCCTCCCCTGGCCATCCTTCCCCTTCCCGCCACTTCGGTGTCCCATCCTCTTGCCTTATCCCTGTCGTCCGTCATTCTTGGTCTCTCTCTCTCTCTCTCTTTTTTTTTTTTTGTTTCTCTCTCTCTCTCTCTCTCTCCACGCATGCGCCCGCCCGCTGCTGTTCCGGGCGCCCTCGAGCCGGGGCGCCCAGGCGAAGAGCCACCGATGCGACGCCTCGCGACTCGACCCGATGCGATCCCAGAGCGACGCGCCCTCCACCAGGAGGGAAAAACACAGACACAATTTATCGTCGATTTCCCCGAAATATAGGAAAATATGTATGGGAAAATATGGGAAGTGGGGGGGAAGACAAAAACCCAGAAAATATCAGAAAATATGGGGAATCCTTTCATTTGTGTGTATTTACTTATGTGCCCCAGGGCCCCTTCAGACTCGACCCGATGCGATCCCAGATCGACACGCCCTCCACCCCCTCCTCACCCCGACATGGGTCAGTCCCCTAGGCGAGCGAATCTCCTGCGTACGCCTGCGCGGTGTCATTGGCGTTCGCCGCCGTTCGGGGGCGGTGCTGGTTCCGCCAGGGGGGGGTCCCCCCTCTTGCAAGGTTACGTAACCCGCTTCCCCCAAAGTCGGCTTGCACAGAGTTCTTCGCCAGTTTCATGGTATGAAGCGTTGAGCAATTCATCTGACCTCCCCGCGCCTTGCTCCTTGCTCGTTGCTCTTCCTCCCCCTCCTCCCTCCTCCTTCCCCCCCTTCCCGCAGGCGCTTCCTGCCAGCGGACCCCGTGGAGAGAATGGTCAGCGCCGCGCCGCCGCCTGCGCGCGCACGCGCGCGGCCGCGACCGCAAGGCCGGCGGCGTGGCGGCCACGCGGTCTGCCACCGGCGGGGGGGGGCCGGCCATCTCCAGGAAGGACCGATTCGACGCGGAGATCCCCACATGTGCATCTCATAGTGATGGCATGTTTCGGTAGAAGGCATTGTCCTTTTCAATATCTGAGTGTCAGGGAATGCATGTGGAAGACGAAGCCGGGAGAGACGGCGACGATTACGACGACTTTATCTAGTTGCTTCCTCATTTCCTCATTTCCTCCTCCTCCTCCTTGTCCTCCTCCTCCTCTTTCTCCTTCTCTTCCTCTGAACACTTGTCAGGGCGCCGAAAACTGCTCCGAAAGAGAAGGATGTTGAGCACCCAAACAGGCAAACCGACTGAGACATCCCCCCAATCTGGGCGCGAACGGGCCCGGGAGGTACCCCCTGGCGCCCCCCCTTGGGAGTGCTGCTACCAGCGCCTCGCCTGAGACATCCTCGGAGACTGCTCCGAAAGAGAAGGGTGTTGAGCACCGAAACAGGCAAACCGCCTGAGACATCCCCCAATCTGGGCTTGAGCGGGCCCGTGAGATACCCCCTGGCGCCCCCCTTTCGGAGTGCTGCTACCAGCGCCTCGCCTGAGACATCCTCGGAAACTGCTCCGTTAGAGAAGGGTGTTGAGCACCGAAATAGGCAAACCGCTTGAGACATCCCCCCAATCTGGGCTTGAGCGTGCCCGTGAGATACCTCCTGGCGGCCCCCCTTTCGGAGTGCTGCTACCAGCGCCTCGCCTGAGACATCCTCGGAAACTGCTCCGAAAGATAAGGATGTTGAGCACCGAAACAGGCAAACCGCCTGAGACATCGGGCTCGTGAGATACCCCCTGGCGGCCCCCCTTGGGAGTGCTGAAACCAGCGCCTCGCCTGAGACATCATCACTGCGTGTGTTTGAGTCTGAGCTCGGAAGTTGTGTGGCTGAGTCTGAGTGAGGATCAGCGAGGCTGAGTATGATTGAGTCTTAGTGTGAGTGAGTCTTGGTGTGAGTGAGTCTGAGTGGAGTGAGTGTGTGTGAGTGACCTGAGTATGATTTACCTTGAGTCTGAGAAGCGACTCGACGTGCGAGTGAGTTTGCACATGAGTGATCCCGAGCATGAGACACCTGAGCATTAGTAATCTCAGAGCGAGTGCATCTCAGTATGAGTGAGTCTGAAGATGAGTGAGTCTACGTGTGAGTGAGTCAGAGAAAAATTACCTGATGTTGGGAGGTGTGTTCTCGTTCTCCGCGCGGTCAGAGTAATAACGAGAACCCCATCCTTAGGACATGGGAAAAACGCAGGCACAAAACAACGTCGATTGCCAGGAACATATGTAAAAAAATGGGAAGTGTGGGGAACACGAAGATTCAGAAACTGTGAAGAACGTCAGGGGAATCTTGGGATGTGTGTCTGTGTGTGCACGTGGGCGCCATCAGCGTGGCGGCGACGCGGTCTGCAACCAGCGGGAGGAGCAGCCATCTCTCAGGTTGGCGGGGAGTTTCAGAAAGGCATGACGGTCCAAACCCAACTTGTCTCTCCGATGCACTGGGGGGGGACTGTGCCTGGGGCAGGCTGCAGCACCGCTCAACGATGTGCCGTCAACCAAGCTTGCAGGGTGGGCCCGTCCAGTTTTTCTGTGCACGTCAGCTTTGGGTGCGCCGTGAAGCGCCTTCTGGCCAGCTCGCCCGAGTCGGTTTTCCGCTCGCACGGATGCCCTCCCCCTCGCCTCGGAGGACGGGGGTCCCTGAGGGAAGCGGGTCAGCGGGTCCCAGAGTTTTTCTCACCGTTTTTTGGCCCGTCAATGAGCTTGGTGTGGGGCCTAACCTGTAGAAGCTCGTGCAACGGCGGTGATGAAGCTCTGAATGTGCCCGTTCATCTCAGCCTCCGTGTGAGCGATGTGCCGAAATTTGCGGGGGGGCTCCAGGGCGCATGCAACTTTTTCCCCGCTGGGGCCGCAGGTAGAGCTTCCCATTGGGCACGATCTTTGAGAACGCTGTGCCGTGATTGGCGGGGGGAGCGGGTGCGGAATTTGCCTCTGGGGCCGTAGTTGGGGCTCCTTACGGGGCACGATGCGTGGGAGGGGTGTGCTGAAGTGGGCGGTGGGACCGTATTTGGACGCACCCACGAAATTTTGGAGGGGTGTGTCGAAATGGGCAGGGGGACGGCATGCGGATGCACCCACTGGTGCCGTCAGTGGAGCCTCCTGCCGCGCCATGAAACCTGTGAGGAGAGTGCGGAACCGGGCGGGGGGACCGCGTGTGGACGCACCAAGTGCAGGTGGAGCGCCGTGTGGGGCCACGATCCTCGTGAGGGATGTGCCTTAAGTGGGCGGGGGGACCGCACGTGGACGCACCCACTGGGGCCGCAGGTGGAGCTCCCAACGGGGGCATGATCCTCTTGAGGGGTGGCTGCCGAAGTGAGGCCACGACCCAGCCTCTTGCCACTCGTTTCGTTTCGTTTCGTCTCGCTCGATCTGGTGCCGCAGCCCTGCACGCCCAGGCGCGTGCTCACTGCATCCGGATGCCCGCGGCGCTCGCGCCCCGTCGGTGCGCGTCTGGCGCTCGCTCCTACCACTCCGCCTCCCCCTCCCGCGTCCCCCCCTCCTTTGCTCCTCTCGAGCGTCTGTCGAACCGGCCCGGAGTCGGCCGCGGGCCCCTCGGAGGTGGCGGTCGAGTCTCGGGACGCGGGTCTGGGGTCAGTATTTTTGTTGGTCTCCTATGTGGTTGCGCCGCATACAGTCGGCCCTGATTAGTAGGTCGACCCTGCCAAATCAAGGGTACCCTGGTGTCCTGTGTCTCGCGGCTCATGCCTCCTGCAGTCCTCTCGCGTGTCCTGTCCAATCGAGTCCGACTGTATGTTGTTGCGCCGCATGTGCCCAAAAGTAGTCATGCCAACGCCTCGTGTTGCCAATCCTGCGGGTCCCCTCCTGGCCGTTTGGGACCCCGCCGTGGTCCGCTGCGGTCCGATCGATCCGATGCGATTTCGAGTCTGGTCCGATTTCGATGTCCCAGCCATCCGATGCGGCCCGATGACTGCAAGGCGCATCCTGGCAGAGCAGATCCGCGGTTTTGCCATCGGGGGCCCATCGCCGATCTCTCGGCGATACCTCTCGTGAGCCCGTCTCTCCTCTCTGCCAGGGCTGAACCTAAACGGTGTGTTTCGTTTTCGTTCTGTTTTTCGTTTTCCCTCGTTTTGTCTTCAATCCGCCTTTGACGCAAAACGAAATCGAATCGACAACGGCCCACGAAATCGCCAAAACACCGTTTAGGTCCAGCCCTGCTGTCTGCTCCTCATCCCCAGGCCGTGGGCGGCGCCCCCGCTCCACGGGAAGGGAGGGGAGAGGAGAGGAAGGGGGAAGGGAGAGGGTGGAGGGGGCCGGGGCGGCGAGAAGAGGTGTGTGGCCGTGTGTGGATCTCGTTTCTGCAGGCGTCTGCGCTCTCCTCCTGGCCCCCTGTCTGCAGCGCTGGGTGGTATGCTTGGGCCAGGCGTGCCCCGCCCTGGTGCCTGCCCCGCGACGGTCCCGGTGCCGCCACCTCGCCACTGGTGGGCGAGCGTGTGGACAGCGTGGCCCCTCATCGGCGGCGAGCGTGGGGAGGAGGCGATAGGGGGAGGAGCAGGAGGAGGAGGAGGAGGAGGAGGAGGAGGAGGAGGAGGAGGAGGAGGCTCTCTCAGGAGGCGGCGGGGCTTCTCAGAAGTCCTCCGGCCTTCTGAGGGGGTTCCTGCGTCTGCGGGGAAGGCTGGGACATCTTCTCTCAGAAGGCTCGGGGGGACTTCCGATTCTTCCGAGGAGGCCCGCTCCTTCCCGCTTCTCCCCGGGCCCGCCGCCGACCCTCTCCCCGAGCGCGTCCCACCACTCGCAAAGTGCCTACTCGCAAACATCCGAAAGCCACATGCTCGCTTCGATGGAACTTGTCGCAGATCCCCCGCGGCGGATCCAGGCCACTTGCGACGAGTCACCCCGCGAGTAGTGGGACGCGCTCGTCTATACCCTCAGACCCGCTGCGGACCGATCCCCGCCCGCCCGCCCTCGGCCCCCGCCCTCCTGCGGCCTGGACGAGGAGGAGGAGGAGGAGGAGGAGGAGGAGGAGGAGGACGAGGAGGAGGAAGAGGAGGACGAGGAGGAGGAAGAGGAAGAGGAAGAGGAGGAGGAGGAGGAGGAGGAGGAGGAGGAGGAGGAGGAGGAGGAGGAGGAGGAGGAGGGGGACCGCGTCGCGGAAGTGCCCTGCGCGCCCCTGCTGCGGTGCGCGCAGCCGCTGGAGCCAGGCCAGAAAGGGAGGCGAACCCGGCTAAGATTGCACCGGGCGCCGCTCCCGCCCGCTCGCGCGGCAGGCCCCCCGGGGGGGCGGGCAGAAGATCGGATGTGATGGGCCTGCTTCCCGCCACCACCACCAGAAGTTGGAGGGGGAGGAGCAGGAGGAGGAGGAGGAGGAGGAGGACGAGGAGGAAGGCCCCTCCAACTTGTGGTGGCGGTGGTGGTGGAAAACAGGCCCATCGTCGGATGGGCCCAGGATCGAGATGAATCTCTCGGAGGCCAAGAGGTTAGCACCAACACCAAGATCAGCGGTGTGCCTCCACGGAGGCAGGTGATCCCGATCTCGGTAATGGTAGCAATGTTCGGCTTCTTAGGTGGCCGACATATCACCATCGACGCCAACTTCTAGGATCATCTTCCCCCGGTGGGGATGGTTCCCTGTGTTGGTGTTGGCGCCCGCTTGCAAGCCTCCAAGGATCCGTTCCAGAGCGTTCCAAGGAGAGGTTCCCGAGGAGGGCCCAGATCGGACTGGGCTAGGACGAGGAGAAGTCCGTTCCAGAGCGTTCCGGAATGCTCTCAGAGCGTTCTGGAGCGCTCTGAAACACGGCCGCGGCGACGCGCGGTACATCCCATTAGCCCAGCGGCTCTCAGAGATTTTTCCGATTTTGATATCGGTCCGATGTTGTCTCGCTTCTGCCTTCGTCTCAGAGGAGGGCGAAGTACCGATGCCACTGCCCTGCCCTCGGTCTCGCCTTCTTGGGCCTCCTGGGACGCCCTCGTCGCCACGGCTGGACGTGCCCAGAATAGAGAGGTTTAGGGAGCCGCGGTGTCTGTACCCTCCTGTCCCCCCAGGAGGGGGGGAAGAAGGAGGGGGCTCCAGGCGCAAAGGGGGCCTGGTAGATTTTAAAAGGTATTTTTTGTTGAGGCTTGTGTGCAATCTCTCTCTCTCTCTCTCCCCCTCTCTCTATCATTCTCTCCATCTCTGCCTCTCTCCCTCTCCCTCTCTCCCTTGTTTCCTATGTCCAAGCTGCGCCGATGCCTCTTTTGCTTTCTTAAAAATTGGAAATCCGTAGTAGCGATTTCCCAGCGAGGAAACCTGAATGGGGAATTCTTTGTTGAGGACTCCGTAGTAGCGACGTAGTAGAGTTCTCAATCAGGAATCCTGAGAGGAAAATCCTTAGCAAGGAGAACGTAGTAGATACTGTTGGTAAGGGATAATTGGTAGGACATCATGATCAAGAAGTTCCTGGGTTGTCCTTATGTTGGACTCCCTGGTAAGGAGATGTTGGTAAAAGGAATCCTTGGTGGGGAAGCCTTCGTAAGGAGTTCGTAGTAAGGAGTCCCCAATATGGAATTACGAGCAACAGTTTCTTAGTAATGAGTTGGTAGTACAAAGGATTTGCACATTAGTTCTCAGCATCGAATGTTTAGCGCGGCAGTCTTAGGGTGATCTTCAGAAAAGAGGTTTTGACAAAGAGTTCTTAGAAGGGAATATGTATGACAAATATCTTCGTTCAAGGAGTCCTCAACTCGGTTTCCAAAATAAGGAATCCTTAGAACATGATTTGTTTGAATGACTCCGTCGTGCGGAATCCATTATAAAGGATCCCGAGTAAGGACTTCTTAGGAAGAAATGCCCAGCAGGGAATCCTGAGTAGGGAATCCTTATTTATAATTTCTTCGTAGAGGGGTCTCTATCGGGACTCTTCACTACACTAAAGGACCATGAGCGAGGATGCCTTGGTAAGGAGTCCCTAGTCAGGGGTCCTAAGTAGGGAATCCTTAACACGGGGGGTCATCAGCACGGCATCCTTGGTGGGGGAACCTCTTTGAGAAGTCCTTGGTAGGGAACCCTTAGTCGAAATTCTTCACCAATGATTTCAGAATGCGAAATCCGTATTAATGAAGTCTGAGTAAGGGACCCTTGTGTGCGGCATCCTCAGTAGTTGTGCTTAATAAGTAGCATGTGAAGATGTCCATCGTATCAAGCCCCCCCCCGTTAGGAATCATTTGTCGGCAGTCCGTAATGAGGATTCTTAGTAGGGGACCATTCGTGGGGAAGCTTTTGCAAGACATTCTTAGTACGGGGTCGCCAGTAAGGAGGTATGAGTCAACCGGTCTTGATAGGGAACCAACCAATCAAGAAAGACTCATTATCAAAAGCTATCAGTAAAGAACCCAGAGTAATGAATCCTTCGTATAGAAACCGTGTTAAGGAATTTTCGATGCGGAATCATTCGTAAGGAAGCCGTCGCAGGGAATATTTGGTTAATACTCCTTTGCAGGAAGCGCTTAAGAAGAACTTCATGGAAAAAGGGGGCCCTGAGTCGAAAGTCGGTGGTAAGGGATCCTGAGAAAGAGATGATCAGTAAGGGCTCTGCACGAAGGGGTCCGACCTAGGGAACCCTCGGTATGAAGCGCTAAGCATGGAATCCGTGGAATCCGTTTAAAATAATTATGTTGAATGAGTTCTTAACCAGGACTCCATCGTGAGACATTCTCGGCGTGGAATCGTTACTACGGAATCCTTGGTCGGGAAGTTTTCGTAACGGGATCTTGAGCACGGAATCTTTAGCAGGAAATTCTTATGTCGGAAGTCTTCGTATGGAATCCTTAGCAGAGAAGTCTTTGTATAGAGTCCGTCGCAGGGATTCCTTATTACGAATCAGTTGTAAGGATTCCGTTGTAATGATTTTTCCGTTAAAGAGATCCGAGCTATGGGATCCCCAAGCACATATTCGTTAGCAAGGCATCTTTAACAAGGGATCATCCGCATGTAATTCTTAGTAGGGGAATTGTTGTTGGTAATCCTTTGTAAGGATGGAAGGGTGTTGCAGTGAGGCAGATTTTCACCGATAGGTTCAGCGTCAGGAGCTTCTGTCCGTGACCAATGTGGCTCCAGGGTAAAACACCTAGTCTGTCTCCGTCTGCCACAGTTGGTAGCGGAGCGTGGCCCGGGGCGAGGTGCCATGGGCGGAGGCGACCCTGCCACGAGGTAGGCGGCCTCCCGCTCGCGCGCCCTCGCCCGCGGCTGCGCTCGCACCGACGAGGTAGCGTGGGATCCACGGCCAGGTGATCATGCCCGCCGACGGCGAGGCCGGGACGGAGGCAACGGACTTTCACGTGGGCACTGGCAGCCAAGACGCTCCAGGTAACAGTTCGGGCAGCCAGAGCGCCACTGTGACCATCCGACGCGAGGAGCTCAGGGATTTGATCAAGAATGTAGTGTCAGAGACTATGAGATCAGGAGCTCCAGACACAGGAGGTCATCGAGGTGTCGTCCGCGAAGAAAAGTCTCACGACGAGTGGCACGACACCGGCAAGGACCCCTGGCGAGAAGGCCGCGATCGAGGAGCGCCCAGTGGTGGGCGCGAAGCTGGAGGCGACGGCATCCAGAGAGATCGTCGAGATGGAGATAAGGACGCCAGAGGAGAAGGCCGGTGGCGCGACCAAGGCAGCGGCTGGGACAGCCGCGACGGTGGCCAGGGCAAGTCCGGGCCCGCGGAGGCCTGGGGCTCAGGCGACTGGGACGGCGGCTGGACGGATCGCCGGAGATCGGCGTGGGACGGCGGAGACGGCGGAAGCTGGGGGGGTCGAGGTGACTTCAGCGACCCACCCAACTGGCCCGGATGGGCCGGATGGGCCCACTACCGACAATGGAAGCGAGCGCTTAGGCGCTGGAACACGAACACAGATGTGAAGCTGTGGAGGCGTGCCGAGAAGTTCCTCAAGCTCTTCGAGTACAGCTTCCAAGCCAAGTTTGAGGACATCAGTGAGGATAAGCTGTGCTCGACGGAGTGGATCGACGTCATCCTGCAGCGCATGGACCTCATGGCTGGCGAGCGAGAGGGCGACGACCTCCGGCGCGCCGGCAGGAAGGCCTTCTTCGAGGCCTCCAGAGAGGCGAAGGAGGGACTGACGCAGTTCGTCCACCGACGAGAGGCACAGCTCCAGGAGGCCGAAGGCATGGACCTCTGGATGAGCTCCAAGCTGAAGGGGCTGTTGCTAGAAGAAGGGGCGGGTCTATCGGCGCAGGGAGTCCAGAACCTGCGCACCTTGACCCAGGGCAGGACCGACTTCGAGCACGTGGCCTGGGCGCTGAAGCAGATGGGCGCTGGAGGAGCCGAGCGGCTCCTCCCCGGCCGCAGCGGCGCGGCGCTGATGGCAGAGAGTGAGGGCCTCGGCCCAGGCGCCAGCGAAGCCGCGAGCAGTGCTTTTCAGGCCTCTCTCCCCCCTCCCTCCGGTCGGTCAGAGGTGCGTGTCGACGGTGAGGAGGACGACGCCAACTACTACGACTACGACGAGGAGGTCGAGGGCGACTCGGGGGACGAGTCTGCCTGGGACGCCGAGGCGCTGCTCGCGGAGCTGGAGGACCTGAACCTGTGCGAGGACCAGCTGGAGGAGTTCTGGGTCATGATGGAGGGCAGGCGCCCGGCAGGCAGGACGTGGAAGCAGAACAAGGAGCTGAAGAGGGCGGCCCGGAAGGACCGCGAGTACCTTGGCGTGAAGCCGAAGGCAGGTGATCGGCACCCACCACGTCGCCCTCCGCCTCCTCCGGCGGGAGCACCCCGAGCTGGAGGCTCCAGCGGCCGACGCGATCGAGGAGCACCCGGCAGAGGTCGGGAAGGTCGAGGCATCCGCGGCAGACTGACGATCGAGCAGCAGATGAAGGTGACGAGGTGCAAGCGGTGCCAGCAGAAAGGACACTGGGGACGAGAATGCCCGAAGTTCGGGGACCACGTCGGAGGCGGTCAGGCCGGAGGGGGCCAGCGAGCCCGTGCCGGAGGAGAGCGACAGAAGATGTCGGCCTACATGTTCGAGGGCTTCTCCGGCGAGAGTTTCCCCATGTGGAGGGGCGAGGCCGACCAGATCTCCTCCGGGGCGGTCTACGTCGTGGCAGAGGCGGACCAGGCGCTTGTCGATCCCGGGGCAGGGAGTGACTTAGTAGGAGTGCAGGCGCTCAATCGGGAGGCCCAGGCGCTGGCTACTCACGGGCTGACGTACGTCGAGATCCCCAGGTCTCATCGTCCTCTCAAGGCGGCCCACGGGACCGGCGGCATGGGCAGAGTCATCAGCG